CGACGCCTGGCCGTTGCGCATGTTGGTGTGCTTCCAGCCGATCCCCTCGTCCACCTCGTGCATGCAGATCACGTTCTTCATCTCGACGGGCTCGCCGGTCCCCGTCGTGCGGATCCCGTCGAAATAGGCGATTTGGCCGAGACAGTCGCAGCCCAGGGTCAGGGTGTTGGAGGTCAGGCCGAAGCCCGTGTCGCCCAGGTCGAACGCCTGCTTGCGACGGTACGGGGCCCGCGGGTCTCCGTACGGGACGGTCATCTCGCTCATGGAGACTCGATGGAAGAGCGACCGGCCGTCGTAGAAGACGTTGTGGAGCACGGGTCCCTCGCGCACCGTCCATCCCAGGTGGAAGGACCATTTCTGCCAGGTGATCTGGCGTACGTCGATGCGAAACGACGGACCCTCTGGTTGCTCGACATATAGCGGCTTTAGGTCCTGGCGGAAATAGGGCTTGCCTAAGAGGCTCTCGCTGTACTCGACTGGCTCCACGGCGTCCCAGGGAACCGTTTCCTGATCGAGCTCCGCCCCCGCCCCTCGTGGCAGCCTTTCGATCTCTACCAGTTCGGCGGTATGGGCGTCGAAGATGGGCGCAAACGCCATGGGGAGAGAGTAGTGGTTCGCCTCCGGATCATCGTTGAGGACAGCGTACATGTAGCACTGGTAGAGACGACGGGTTACATCGGGACTGTCGGTCCCGTACAGCCAAGGGTCGTTGACCACCGATGCCCTGCGGTTGTCAGATTCTATGTGCGATACCTTGTATAATGGGAGCGGGGAGGGCATGATTTGGCCAGAGAGCGCTGCTCACCCCTCGGGTAGTTTGAGCTTCTTCACCTCAGCACGAACCCGCGGATGCTCATTGCAGGCCTTGTGAATGCGCTCGAATTCCTCAAAGTCTGCAGGCCCTTGAACCTCGGGATACTGGCGGTCTTCTTCAACAGTACCCTTGGTTACGTTGACTTTCGCCTTGCACAACGTGGCATTCCCTTGCTGATGGTAGTAGATGTAGGCTCTCCGCGGAGGGGCTGGTGAGCCTTGCGTGCTAGCATTCAGGTATGCCAGGAGTGAAGCTTTGGAGGGCTCTAGAAGATCAATGACCTTGAAGTGGATCGGGGTAGTCTTGTGATGAGCTCGCAAGATTTGTGCTGCTTTGCGCAGCTCATTCGGGGCGAGGGGGTCGAGAGGGTGAGACATGGCGATATGGGTATTAGGCAGTGAAGCAGCGTAAATAGTAGGTAAGGAGAGAGTTTAAATAAATACTGCACCATACTAGAGTTTCCTAAGCCTTTGCTAGACTTTATATACCAGGTCTACCTGTCTCCGGGTGCACAATTGATGCTGATTTATACATGGTATGGATGACTTCAAGGCAGTCGGTGGGACATAACCTTGAATCAAGGTACGCTGGCCTATTCTTGATTTGGATCAACTTACGCCAGTGAATCACATCGCCAGCCATCCAATGAGTCTCTTGCATTAACTTGCAGCTTCTGCGACCGGGATCAGGACGTGGGTGAGTGATAGGATATTGAGATGGTTGCCCACTCGGGAATGGTTTCCAACAAACTGGAATAATCCCCGATAGAGGCGTGCTTAGCCACAGTAGTTTACACAACAAGGCAATAATGCTAACGAGGCAACACTGATCCAGGCAAGCTTAATTCCTGATTTCTTCGCAAAGCCAAATCCCAAAAGACACCCTTATTCGAAGTCAAAAAGCCTTGATCAGCGATACTCCAGGCAGGCCTCACCATGACGTCACTCCCATCTAGAATAATGTCCTGGACGTGAGAACGGTATACGGAGTACTTCGCAATGGAACGCAAAAGTCCAACCGATGGGAGTCTGATCATCGAACTTCCTAATGATCTGATCTCCGGCTCCTATCTCATCCTTTCCAGTGTTGGGAATGGCTCGACTATCTAAGGCACCGATGTGACCTCCCCGAATATAGCAATTGACCCCACAATTAATTGAAGCTAGTAAAGTGATGTGTCCAGTGTTGAAAGAAAGGGTCAAGCAGGGATTCACGGTGATAATGAGTGACACAGACCAGACAATTAGATTGCCTGCATCAATCGTCGCCATTGTCCCAGTGATGGCCTTCCATTTGCCAACTGGGATACTCACGCAGCATCCAGGAACAGGCTTGACCACCCTCTTCTCACCCCCAACCCCGCACGATGCGGCACGACCTCGGATCGACCCATCCAGTGGGGTGATAGCCTTGATAAGAGGTCTGTTAGCAGTTGAAAGCATTTCCTATTGGGGACAAGCCCATTGGCGAGTTCCCCATTTTGGGAAACGAGGCCACTCGCTTGGACAGTGAATCCGTGGTCGCCAGGGAGTCCAGATCCCCTTCCGGTGGTGTGTAAGCTATCACCAACTCCCCCAGATCCTTGGCGGCGCCTATCGGGAGCTCGTCGCTTCTGCTGTGCACTGTGCACTACACGCCACTACGTACGGTACATCCATTTATATGAAGTGATAGTCCTGGCTCGAGTTGGATGATCATCATTTTGACAATTGCAACCGACACCCCCATCAATCTTCACCATGTCCTTCAATCCCTCCAAGTACAGCGACGAGGTCCAAAAAGTGTCCAAAGACACCCCACTCGAAGAGATCGTGTATCTGCTCAAGCGGGACGGCGGGGTTTTCATCAAGAACCTCATACCCGAGGGTGACGTCGACCAAGCCCATGAAGAGGTCAAGTCGCGACTGGACGAGGATGTCGAATGGAACGGTTCATTCTTTCCAGGCAAGCCCTTGGCAGTTGCGAGAAAAAAAAAAGAAAAAAAAA